TTTAACTTTTCTTTTTCAAGCTTTTCCACTGACTCCTCAGTTTTTCAGTTTCTGATCAGGCTTGGCTTGGAGAGAAGTGCTGGTATGATCCGAATGAGGCACTTCAGGGCTTGTGCTGGAAAATTCTCGAGGCAGCTGGAGAGTTTAGTGCAGTCTCAGAAACACCAAATAATTTAGCTGGCCAAAGAGAAAGATGTGTTCCTTAATTGCAATTTGAGATTATTGCAAATTGCAATCCCTCCATCTGACAGGCCATCCCACCATCTTTCTGGAAATAATGAGGAGCCCACCTTGTTCTGGAAGTTTAATAGGAGGGAATGTAGGAATCTCATGACAGTAGGACAACATGGTGCATTCATTTTCATGCTCCTGGAATAGATGGGGCTCTATTTTCCTCCTCCTCTGGAGATCAATCCCTGCAGTAGAAACTTCTTCACAGCAGGAGGGGGTGTGAAACAACAGTCGCTCACTGCTCAGCCAACCCTTAATCCCATCTGGATGTAGCTGTGGTTTGGTATTTAGGAGAAAATTAAAATTACTTGGGCAGGGGCTGACTCCTGCACTGCAAGAGGACAGCACTGCTTTTGATGCCGTGTTGGATATTGATCGTTTTGGGTGATTATGAGAAAGTTATCACAAGTTCAGTAATATTTAATTGGAAAATTAGCCTTTTCTGCTTTTAATTTTCAAATGCTCAGCCTGGCACGCCACCACCTGTCCACGTCTCCGCCCCAGGGTGCAATAATCCATCTGTAAGAATGGGCCCAATTTCGGCACACGCATTCTGGTGCAGCCCTAGTGTGATGTGCGCTTTGGATGGTTCTGCTGACTCTTACTACACCCTGCCGTACTTCTTTTACAAAGGCTTAAATTGTTGTTGTTTTTTTGCCTAGCTTCCAAGTAATTAGGGAAATTAAACTCTAGAAATAGAGCACTGCCTTGGTAAGAGGTGAAAGGAGACAGACACAACGTATTGTATTCGCAGTCCTCCTCGGTGTGTGCTGGGCAGGGCTACTTCTGCCTGTACAAGATCAGGACAACATCCCTCCTTTGCAGTAGTGCAGCAGAAGCTTCCTACCGTGGAGATAAGAGTGATTTCCCTTTACATTCCATTTTTATATGTAGGCAAGTTTCAAAGAGGTATTTCCATGGAGGCACATTTCTCACACATTACAGTTTTTGTATGATATTGATTGATAATACCCATTTGCTGGTTTGGACTATCTAAACCAGGGCCTTTATAATAAAATATGTTAATGACATTTTTCACTTGATAAAAACTTGAGGGTCTTTTTATCTTTAACCATAACTGTATGAATCACTGTAGAGTGGGAAAAAAAAAAAAAAACACAACAACTTTTTTCACTGAATTTGCATCCAAAGCAAGAATCTTAAATTATGGCCAAATAACAGCAATAGTAAAACTTCAGAAAAAAATTGTACTTGAACATCCTTAAGATTTCAGAACTTCATAAGCATGGGGTCCCATTTTTCAGGGAATTCCATGTAGATGAAATTGAACCCTCAGATGATGGCCTGTCTCTGTAAGCGACTGGTTTGAACCCAGATGCCCTGAAGATGTGTAGAATAGGCAATGGCAGCGCTTCCCTCCCAACAGGCTTGGAGTGTTTTCCCAGTCTTTTCTAGGAAGATCAAGAGAAAGGATGGAAATAGAACTTTCTCTTTCTTCTGTTGAGCAAGCAGTCAGGCAGGAGCCACTGTAAGGCTCTCTGGGGTTATGAAAAAGTCTGAGAATATCACACTTTAAGTAAGTTAGCACTACATTTAGTCACTGCTCGTGTAAGCTGAGTTTAGCTGGCAGCTGATCATCAGAGATGTCTGTATCTCACTGACGACCCTCTGAGCTATAAAACGCTGCTACCATATTTCAAGTTCTGCATTTTAGTTCGTGTGATAAAGGAAGTGCACCAAAATAACTGAGAAATAAGCCTGCTAGATATGCCATCACTGGTGGCCACACTGACCCCTACGTTTCCTGTGCAAGACCACTGCTGAGGAAAAGTTCCCTTTTTTTAGGGAAGCTTTTTTGAATCGTCTTGGGTAAAGGCTGCCTGGAAGGGCTTCAGGAAGAAGCTTCTGGAGGTTCATGGTCTGGACATGTGCATATACAGTCACCTTCAGTGATGGATTTGAGAGGTGATCCATGAAATTGGCCAGGAAACCTTTTACAGCAGGATAAATGCTAGCTTTGATTAAAAGAAATTAAGAAAATGAATTTTAAACAAGGGAGGTATGGTGCTGACCAGCTGAGCCCAAAAATTTCTCCATGCTTAATTTAATGATGCATTTGTACTTTCAGGGTGAATGCAACTGGAACTGGTTCATCTCCCTTTCTGCTTTTGTTTCATTTATCACTGTTGGGTTATTGGTGGTTCTTATTCTTAACATAGTCCTTTCATTTGCTTTTTTTTTTTTTTTTTTTTTATTATTATAGTGTAAAAACTTCCAGCTGCTGTGCTCAGCCTGAACTACAATTAGCATAGGGTAATAATGGAGCAATTAACTACAATTAACACGGAGTAATGATGAAGCATGAGAAAAGAGAGTGCTGCCAAGGTGTTTTTATAAAGAGACCGGCACTGTACTCTTCACAACGGAGTTGTTGCCCATATGCTGTACATACCGAGCAGTCTGCTGGCAGCCCTCCGAAATGCGACCCTCCTCCTGCGGCTTGCAGCAAGTGGTGCTTCCACGTTAGTGTGCAGGATGTAAGCTGATGAAAACCTCTTTCCATCGTGTATGAATGGCTTCACCTACAGGGAAAAGAATTTTAAAACTGGAGCCGTTTCCTAAACTGTGGTGTGGTCTCAAGCAGTTGAAAGTGGTATCCCACCTCCTCTCTCAGCTGGGGAAAAAATGTTTCTGTTCACTGCTGTGTGCCAGAAATGCTTCAAAATCTCCTGCTAGAACCCACTAATTTTGTATAGTAAGTAGGTAGTTATTTCAGCTTTTCTAGAAGAAAGGAGAACTGAAAAGATTTGGAAAAATCTCAAAAGGCTTTTTAGCAGAGAGGTTATTTTCAGCTGTCTCCTTCCTGGTGAATACCTCTTGCCCCAAAACTTCAAAATTTCTTAAAGAAGCTGAAGAACACACACACACAAAATGTATTTTCACTTAAGTAAGGCTGCAGGACCCTCCCAACGAGAAACCACTGCTGTTGTCCTCCATCTTCCAAGCACCTCCCGCAAAGCTAAACAAAGATAACAGGAATAATAAGGAAGAGAAGTGCATTACAGGAATCCCACCATGAGAGGTTAGTGGAAATTCCCTCTTCCTGAACAAAGCCGTTTGCTTGCTCTGTTTGCTTTACGCTAAATGTTTAAATAGCAACGTTACATTGGGGTGTGTGCTCCTTGAGATATGACGCCCAGCCTTTGCATACCTATAAGAAAGTGTTTTCCTTATACTCCTAAAAGCAGGTCAGTTGTGTTTGATGCCGTAGGGAACAAATAACCTTTTTGAGAAATTAAAAAATAAGGTGTTATTGGAAACAGATTTGATGAGATGCCATGGCATCAAACTATCAGGTTAAAAAGTAGAATCTTTTGAGGATAGGATATTGGGAAGTATTTTTGGTTCAAGCACCAACTCTCTAGGTAAATATTTTCCTTTTTTCACCTCCCAACATTTGGGTTGTTACTTTTATTCTATTTTATAGACTGCTTTCATAGAAATTTTCACAGGTACTTGACATTTGTTGTCTCCTCCAACGCTCTGTTTGTTACTGTAAACATGATTACAGCTTGGTACCTCGTATCTGCAGGTTAAAAACTATGATTAAACTGATGCGACAAGCTAAGCCTTTGGCTCCCATTTGAGCTTAAACCACTCAACTGTTGGGCCACTAGCACACACAGGTTATTTGTTGCCTTAATCTGAAGCACAGCAGTGGCTGGCTGTGAGAGACTTCAGGCACCTGAACATGACCTGCTTGTTCTGGTGATATGACCAAGTGGCTCAGTTGTGAGCCAGAACCTGAACACAACTAGCAAGGATGATCTATAATGTGGCCTCTGACGAGCAGGAGACCTGGGCATCTCCAAGAGTTGCCTTCAGGACCTTGTGAACTGCTCTAGAGCAGGATCTTCAATGAAGTTTCTGGGGTTTGTTTTTTCTTTTTTTTTTTTTTTTCTTTTTTTTCCTCCCCCACCACCAGAGAGAGGAGGTTTTGGGCTGGAGCACTAATGAGGATGAACGCAGCAGGCCACACACAGATCCACTTAAGGGGCACTGAAACCTTGCCCCAAAACATTTGCAACAAAACAGTCTCTCTGCCCTGGTGTCAGCCTGGCCCACGTGCATCCAGGGTATTTATGAACAAATAGAAAACACTGGGAAGAGCCGAGTCATGCACTGAAATCTTGTTTCTGAAGAATAAAATTTTATTTTTTTCTGAAAAAAATGCATACACACATGTTCAGATCTGTTCAACCTTCAAAACATGTCTTAGTTTCCAAACAAGCCATGTTCTTTTAAGCATGCAGGACCCCACTGCAGCTTGATAAAGAAGTTAAGAGGGTTTTTTTTTTTTAATCCTGTAAGTGCGCAAACATAATTTGAAAGCTATTTACATCTTGTACCTCTCACTTCTAATAACAGTAGCATCAACTGTTAGATACATGCACTGTATAGCTGTAACTTAGGATTTGGCATTGATGTTTGATTTGGGTGTAGGGTGAAAGCCAAACAAACCTTCCACTGTTCAAAAAACCTCCCCACAGGCAATTATAATACATCTCATTTCTTCTTTATACAGCAGATCTCTTCAAGCACTCAGATTTCCCTGCAGTTATTAAAATATTACTTCTATTCCTTCCTCTGGTGCAGACATGCACTTTGCTTGCTTTGGTGAATGGGAGCAGAAAGAAAAAAAATTTTGTTTTTTTATCAAAGAAGGCAGGAGTGCACTGAAACACAGCCAGTTGTCCGTCTGTCTGTTGTTTTCAGTAAACTGCAAAATTACCTATAGTATGCTTTTATTACTCTTAGACCATCTAAAGTCAGATGCAGCTGCTTAGATGCAAAAAGTTGGATTCAAGTTCCTATTACTTTCTCTTCTAATTTCCTCTCCCATCAATTAAAAACCAGAAGTTGATAACCAGCCAGATATTAGTACTCAAATCACGCTGTATTTTACTCATCTCCTTATATTCTCTAACCTAGGTCAAAGAAGGCATGGCATGTTTTGCCACTGCACTCTGTTGGCAGAACTTCTTTGTGTATATTGAGCGTAGTACACCTCCTCACAGCCATCATAAACGGCCTTTGCTGGTTCATCCATGCCAGTGTGATTAAATGAGGGTGCTGAAAGTGGGAGCCGGGTGAATATTAGTTACACATGGCATTCCAGGCGATGTGTTTTATTATCCCCCAGCAAAAGCTGGCCTGTGTTTCATTGAACGGGGACTGTGCAGCCGGTGGTCAGTGCATTATTCTGGTTTTCAGCGATGGTAATTAAGCAAGCCAGATTTTTGTAAGAGAAAAATGGTATTTTCATAACTGCAAAACTGCTGCAGAATAAATATACAAAATTGAAGAAGACAATGCATTTCACAATTTGCAAGAGCTGCTAATCACGACTCGGGCAAGTTCAGTTCACGATGGAAACCGTGCTTTCGGGCTGGCCTCCAAATATCTGGGAGAAGAACTCAAAAGCCAGGCGGACGTGGATGGGGACGAAGACGTAAGCCGTGTACACCACCATAGCGAAAACAGTCACGGTGATGGTGTGGAACATGGACTGCTCCCAGGGCTCCAGCACGTAGCTGCAGGTGATCAGTAGGTACTGGTAGTACAGCCAATAGATATAGTCCTTCACGCGCTTAATATCCATCTTCAGCTTTCAGTGATTTCAGGAAGATGACCTGTAACGATAGACAAGTCTGGATTATAGCTGAAGTGCAAAGAAAGACCTGGAACTAAAAAGTGATGCGGTGACCAACCTGTCAAGTTTGATCCCACATGTAATTGTTACATAAAATAAAGTTCAAACGGAAATAACGCATCGGTGCCACCACCAGCCTCTGCTGCCTGGAGCAGGGGAAAACAATTTTTAGCTGTAGCAACTGCTGTTTGCAGTTATTGGAGCTGTATCAGCTGAGCACTCCGAGTTTCTGCGTTCTGATCATGAGGGTGTTTTGCTCTTCTCTCTTCAACAGGAATTAAAGTCGGGTGGGCTTGCAAAGGCACAGGGTTCACGTGGAAGTCAGGGAGATATGCGTTTAAAAGGGAGGGCTTTGGGCCAGTTTCCATAAATGCGGATGGCAGATTCGTATGCTCTGGAATAAGGATGAGATTAAAGTAACTGCTCTGTAAAAACTCTGCTTACTTCTGATAACTTTTATTATCCTGCAATTGTTGGGAATAAAGAAAGACAAACTATGAAAGGGAGGGGAAAAAGGAATATTAAATAGCATAGTAAGTTTTTTCATCTCATTCCAAAGCAATAAGGTACATTACAGGTTAAAAGAATATTTAATGGAAGTTACAAGCCTGTGAAAGATTTTCCTCTCAGGTAATACTTTTATGCATTCATTGTTCCCGTCTCTACACTAAAAGGAGAATGGCTGAGTATTAACTAGGAAATGGGGTTTGCCTTCCACTGTTTTTTGTTAAAATCGCTTTTCAATATTTTAAATAATCTTTAAATTTAGGCTAAAAACTTAAGAAAAGAAAACACAGAGACAGAATGATAAGCAACTGTATGAGGCTTCACTGAGAGACTCCTTTATTTTTGGGGTTGAGTTTAAGGACACACATGATAACCAGGGAACACAGCAGATTTTAGTCCTGCTGGAAAACCTTCCAATGTATCATTTTGCTTTAGACTTCTGTGGCCTAAAATGCCAGGAACAGAGATGTTTGGCCATGTCAGTTCCTTCCAGTCTTGTGTCTGTAGTGAGTCTGAGGCAACAGAAATCTTCTGTCCCTCAAGGCAACAAGTGCTAAGGTAGCACTGGAAAATCTGCAGCCTGTGATTAAAAAAACGACAGGCCGCTGGTATAGGCCAAATACGTTACAATATTCAGTGGTTTACTGCCTCTGGAGGCTGAACAGTATATTCTGGTGATATGTGGGTATTTACCAGAGGGAAGACAAATTACCAATAAAAAAGATCTCTGGTTTGTTTTGTAACAGCTTTACTTTGGTTACTGATGTGTAAAGTTTTTGTCCAGTGGATGCACTGTTAAGTGCACACACCTTGACAGATTGTATTTCTCCATCTTTCTTCCTTTAGGTCACTGGTACTGCCAGTTGCTGAGGTTCAACATTCCCGTATCGAGTTGCAAGTGGAGCATCCTGCCAGACGAGCTTACACCTCGCCATCTGCAGATGCTCTAAGGTAGATTTTTGCCCCTTCTTCTTTGGGAGGGCAACAACTGCCCTATGTGTGGCAGACTGGCTGGTTGAACTGGCCCTGCAACTGCCTGTCCGGTGCTGTGGATAAGGGAGCTGCCTGTCTTTGCTCCCCCTCCTTCATCCACGTGCTGGCTCCTCTCCCACTGTTTCTCCTCCCATCCCTCAGTTTCCTCTCCAGACCTCCTTGTATCTGTTCCCCAGTTGCTCTTTAACTCTCAACACCCCCATGAAGAGCAACCTCTTTGCTGGCAACAAGTGCAGTGAAACTGTAAACACTGCGCATTAAAAAAAAGGAGGGAGGCTTGTTTGTGTTAGCAGATTTTTATGCAGAAAAAAATTCCTGTACTTGCCCCATCGCCCACTCAGCTTTTACTCTCCCCTAGCCCCTCCTCTTCTCTGTCCTCCACCATCAGTACCTTCCTCAAGATATCTTTTTTTCCCCTCCATCTCCCAAAGCAGTGCATTTCCTTCACTTCCATCTTCCCTGTATGTCCCAGATTATATCTCCTAGACCAAGAGGCTGCCTGCAGTGCTTGGCGGGGGGGGCAGATCACTTCCATTTTAAGTCTAGAAGTGACTGTCTTTGCTGTGAACAGCTTTACTTGCAAGGGTGCAGGCTGGGGAGAAAGGCCACCACTGGTTTCTGTTGTAGTATGAATGGAAGATGATTCCTTTCAGATAAATTATTTTAAGGCAGAACACAAGAGAGGCCTTAAAGCATTGTAAATATTGCAAAGCCTCTAAGAAAAATGGCACAGCTGGCAAACTGTGACTCACTGGGAGCCAAAAGTGTCTCTATTTATACCTTCTGCAAGAAGAGCAGCATTTTTCAATGAAGAGGTTAAGCCCTTTCCTACACAATTGAAAGGAAAATGATAAGGGCCCTCTCGTACTCTCTGGGATTATGGTATTTACACTGGGGTTATACCTGTGCTAGTTAAACCCATACCTTTCTTGGGTAAATAGCTGTTAAGCCCGACTGCCGCACGGAGAAACTGCAAGGCTGGCGTGCTTGCTCTGGGTGTTTAAGGCTACAAGGTTATCAGAGGGGTGCTGCAGTGGTTTTGAGGGGAGAGATCCCAGGCTAATGGAACTTTCTGCCCACAGTGGCACATACATCTGTATATCTCAATACAGAGCTGGTATAAGGAAGGGCCACAGACAGGAAAAAATTCCCCAGGCTGATTGTACTGATATTAGACCAGTCTACCAGGCTGCAGACTCCCCACCAGCACTTACCAGCCTTTGCTGTTTTGGAGGGACACATGCATAAAGCATGAAATAATTAAAATAAGAAGCAGACTTTTTGATTGATACCAAAGACCCTGTTACACTTTCTCCAGCCTGGGGACCGTGTTTCTGTTCACCTTGCTCACCAAGTCCTAGCAGCCAGTCTGTGTTTCTTCAGGTCTTCCCGTTGACGGTGCAGGGGGATAAGCCCATCCCCAGCACAGCTGTCCTGGCATTCCCCGGGCTACCAGCACGGATGCCAGCCATCTTAATGCAGAGGCTGCTCGGTCTCCAAAGGAATGATAGAGGTTGAGATAAGTAAAAGACAAACAGTCAAATTACAGTGTCTGTCCTCACCGCTAACATGCTTCCGCTGCATTTGATCTACCCAGAGACTTTCTCCGTTAGCAGGACTGCCTTGGGAAGTGCAGCAAGCGTGAGGGGTGTCTTGGGATAATGCGATTCTAGATGAATAATTTATAAAAGGAAAACATAGGAGGGAAGGGGGAAAAAAAAGCCACCTTAAACCAGCCGTGCCATCAATGAGATACAAGAATCCACTGTGTTACTGTGACATAGATCCCTTTTCTGAAGGTACCCCATTTGCATTATTTCAAGGCCAGTTTTAAGCAGCAGCAATAACCCAAAGCTCCACACCTCCAGAGGTCTCGGGCAGCCTTACCACCTGGGCTAATTACCTTGTAGCAATAATCATAGGGAATGGCAGATCACTAAACAGAAACTCTTGAGGCTACAAATTCTGTATTTTAAACAGGACTTGTCCTAGAGAGGCTTCCACTTATATTTTTAAGCATCACTGGGTTTTATTACATTAATGCCACAATCAGCTGGAGCTCTGAGTTGAAAGGGCCCTGCGTAATTAGCTCATCAGTTCCCAGTATTCCAGAACAGGAGATAATTTGCTGTTAGGCAATTTTAACTTAGTGCTCATTTGTCTACAAATTTGAATGTAAGTATTCAGTTGTGTTGTGGAAATGCCTTCCTGTTTATAGGCCATGGGACTGTTACAACCAGCTATGAATAAAATGAATAGAATTCAGCTTCTAAAGCCATTAAGCAATATTCAAATTATTTTCAGCAATTTTACCTCCAAGCAAAAAAATCAAGAAGAGGAACCTGTAAAGCAGCTTTTATTGTTTTAAGTGGCAACCTGATTTTCTTGCTTGTTGACACATGTCTCTGATTAGAGCAGCTGAAAAGATAAATCATCATCAAAAAAAAATAATCCCAGGTTTCATTTAAAAGCATGCTAAATCTCAAAAATTTCTTTACTATTAACCTTAGATCCCAGTGTTAGAGGTAGCGTTTGGAGTGGTAACCTGAAGATGCCAGTGTTACTTTGCTATATCATTTTTGCTTTGAACAACAGAGGATTGGGGCACTTTGTCTGCACGGGGCAAAATGCACCTGCTGGAAAATTCCAGTGAAAGAAACATTCTTGCAAGGGAACTGGGATAGACTGGTTTCCAAAGAATGCTTGAAAAAGACCTTACAGCCTCAGCAGGAGAGGTTGGTTGATTTAATGCATACAGAGAGAAAGGGTTTCCAACATATGTTCAGGTCTAGAAAAATTTGTCTAGACTGGGGAAAAAAAACCCTGGAGCTGGAAATAGCCCCCTAGTCATTAAACAGGTGGTCTCTGATGCTTTGAATGTAAAGCAGGACCAAGTGTTATAAATGTTTTCCTAGAAGGAAAACCAAGCAAACAATAAAGCCATCCTCAAAATGCAAACATTTAATTGGCTGAATATTGGCCATTTGCTAAATAATTCCTGTGGCACCACGGAAAAAAAGAGTTGGTAGGTTTTTGCAGAAGCCTAGGCACTCATGCTGGAGCTTAAGTAAAATCTACCACGAGCCCCTGAGGCTTGTATTTGGTTTCGTACGCAGGCTCCAAATGTGACAAGGCAAAGTGCAATAGTTATTTTAAAGTTGTCTAATATGTAAATAATTTAAACTATTAGAAGAGGAAAGGGTAGTCATCCCCCCTGGGTACTGAAATAGATATCCTCTCTGCAAATTGTTCATCTGTAATTGTTCGTATTTATTTGTAATAGTGTTAAATGGGTTTGTTCTGCTTTTACTCAGATGGAATATCCTGACTTATCCAAGGCACCAGACTTGCCCCTCTTAATGCTAACCTAACTCTGGGATAAGCCCATTGATTTTATGTAGACGGACGTTTCTGTAAGTGCAAATAGAACGATTCACATTCCCGGTCCATCGTGCGTTTGTTTTAATATGTTTTATTCAG